GCCTGCCTCAGGGGATTTCATGTCGACATTCACTGTGATCTTCAGCTCTTTCACTAAACCCAGCCAGACTTTACTCAGAATTACGTGAAGTATAAGGTCAGCTCTGCACAGTGTACCTTGGTATCAAAATGAGCCCTGGGGAGGTGGCGAGTTGGCCTTGGTGGTCAGTGATCCCAAACAAGAAGTATGGAGAACGTTGTGCTTTTGGAGGGAATCCCAGATGTGCCTTTTAGCTCTCATCGTGTTTGCACGGCTTGTCTCATCTGAAGAGCCCACGTTCAGGGACGAGAACAGATGCTGTAGCTTGAAGCCTAATCTAACTTCGTATCCCAGAACCAGACAGTGATCCTGAACATGGCCTTTTAAAATAACTGATATATGGCATTTTAGGCCAGCCCGTGAAATGAGACCGAATCAGATCCTTTTCTGTGGTCCTGTTCAATTTTAAATTTATTAGATCTGCGGAAGCATAAAATCATACTTTTACCAGAGACCCTATGCTCCTTAACTCCTCTCTTTTAGGTGACTTGCCCAAAGTCATTCAGCACATTGCAGGGTGGACACCAGACCCTAACTCCCCAGCCTTGTCTGCTGCTTACTGACGCCCTGTCCCACCTGACTGCAAGGAGTGTTTCATAGCACAGTGCAGGTTACTTGCAAGAGCTGTGAGAACCTCGGTTCTCCTACCTGTCATTTGTGTGTTTTGCTGCACCTTGCTGCTCCCAACTAACAGTACATTGTACAGCGTCCAAATACTGTTACACGAAATCGCTTGATGGGGAAATGATTCTTACCAGAAGGGCATTCTCCCTGTCACATGCCAGGTGCTTAGAATATGCTTTTTATTCCTCCCACCACGGAGTCAAATGAGATGCACAGACAAGCCTTACAGAGCTCTCTGAATGCAACTAGACAATCTGGTGAGGAAACGTGTTTACAGGGTTGGGAGGAGCCAGTGCTTCCAGTGGCCATTTGGTCCCCTCAGCTACTAGGCACACTGGCCACCACGGTCATTGAGCCCCCTCGACTGCCGGCTCGCACCTACACTCGCCACCAGTGCCCATCGAGCTCTGGATCACCCCATGCACATCTAGATGATGTATGTGTCCAGGCAACAGCAGCAAATGGGAGCCCTGGGAAAGTCCTTTTTAAATTTTACATTTGCTGTTTGAAAAAAGCTACTTTGAAGTAATCATCATGGAACAGTCACAGTGTTGTCAGACTTCCTTATACTTGTTTTGCAGTTGTGTATTTTTGTTACTAAAAAAGGAAAAAAACGGAAAAGACCTAAGAATTGTGCAATAAATTCCTGTCTATCCTTCACTTAGATTTACCAGTCTTTTTTTTTTCAATCCTCACCTAACGATATTTTTTATTGATTTTTACAGAGAGAGGAAAGGGGGG